TCATCATGTAGCTAAAAAAGCAGCTTCCTTTTGGCTAATTAAAGTACCCCCCCCAATCAATAATTTTTCCCAAAATGGTTTCTTCCAAATCACCATGAGGGCCTCTGCTTGTTGCAGATAACCAGCATCTGACTTATTTCTTCCTGCAAACATGCACTAAATTAGCACTGTGAGTCAGGAAGGTGTTTAAATTCTTCATGATCCTCAGTGTACACAGAAAATATATTCATCTAATGCTCTTAGAACATCTATGAAATAGACTGTTTCTGTTCAGTCATATTCTGACCCATCAGGAGTTGTAGAAGCATGTTACCATTAATATACTACTCTTAGGACATGACCCTTGGATTTAGGAGCATTAGCTAAGATTCACAGATATTAAGAGACTAAAATTAATTAATTTAGGGGAACCAGCAGTTAGCGTAATGGCTACGTCGCTGGACTCCTACGTAGTTGACTGTGGTTCGCGACCCGGACCCGGTGGCTTAAAACTCACGCTGGGCACGTGTGCGTGCATGCCCAAGATCCCGAGAGGAGAATGGAGGAGAAGGGATTGAGGCGTGACCATCCCCCCTGGGGGGTGATTTCTCGCTTTTTGTCTCTCTGCCTCTCTCTGTCTGTCTGGCAAGCGCATGCGCCCTATAGCAACCCCCCCCAAAAAAATTAATTAATTTAGTCATTTAACTATTTATTGAGAGCCTACTATGTACTAAATACTGTTTTAAATCCTAATAACAGAGAAATGAACAAAAACAAAACAGACAAAATCCTACTCTTTAGGAGTTTATATCCCAGTGCAGTAGCTGGTCAGGGTATCCTGTAAAGGGCTAGACAGTAAATGTTTGGGATTGCTGAGCTATGTGGTCTTTGATAGAACTACTCAATCCTGCTGTTGTAATGAGAGAGAAGCCATAGATAACATACAAATGAATGTGTGTGGCTATGTTCAATAAAACTTTATTTACAAAAAGATGTGACCATGGTCCCATAAAGAGCATATGGGCTATACCATTTAGATTTGTGTCACTGCATTCTAGAATGCTCTCACTTAACAACACATTTATCAGGACAGAGCTCCATGATTAAGTGATGCATGATTGTAGTACCTATTAAAATATCTTGCGAAATGGCAGTGCACAAAACGTGTTTTTAAAGTTGATTGAATTCTAACACTTTACTTCCTTGATAAATTATACACTGGAGGAAACAGGTTCAGTGTTTAAACTTCCTTGTAGTTAACACAGCTGGTGAAGGACCAGGACAGCGCTGGGTCCCAGGATTCCAAGAGATGATATGATGGGTACATGGTAGAGTGACAGTACTAGGAGATAACTTATGGCCATCAACAGAAAAGTAGCTACATCTTCAACACTTATAGAAAGCATTCAGCTATAGCCACCAGGTCCACATTTATCTGATTTCCATCTGACCCATTTATGACCTTGTAACTTTAGAGAAAGAAGGGAATTGCCAGAAAAAGATAGATAGAAAGCTGGGAAGGGAAGTTGAGTTTAATGACAGACTGAGTTTAAAGTCTTCTTTTCCCCTGAGGGTGCATGTGCTCACCAGAGAGAGTCAGAGAATTGAGGGTGCATGTGCTCACCAGAGTCAGAGAAAGAGAGAAAGTGAGAAATCACCCCTTCAGAGGGGATGGCCATTCAGTAACACTTCCTTCTCTATTCTCTTGGGATTTGGGGCACACACACACACACACACACACACACACACACACATGCCCCCTGCGTGATTTTCAGGCCCCAGGGTCCAGGACTCATGCGGTGGAGTTGGCCATGTGGGATTCTATGCCTTAACCACCACACCTCCTGCTAGACCCTTTGAGTTTCAATTTTTACTCTTAACATTCACTAGTTCATTCATGTGGAACAAGTTGCTTCACTTTTGTGTTCAGTTTCCCCATCTTTAAACAAGGGATAGTAATAATATCTCCTCCATAGGATTTAGTAGTATTTTTAGTTAACATATGTAAAATCGCTTAGAACAAAGCTAAACACAGATTATTAGAGATGAAATTTAATGCAATTTGTTTGTCTATTGGCTCTCTCAAAACCAAATCTGCCTGAGAAAGATGAGAGAAAAAAATAACACTATAGGAAGGGATAGCAATAATTCCTGAAACTTACACTTTCATAGCATACACTGGAAAAGAGCAACTTGAAGAAAAAGCGATATTGGTACAAACTGATAACAGAGAGAGAAAACACTATAAACCAGATGAAGAATGAAGGAGGAAAGAAAAAGCATGGTGTCGATTCCTGATTCTCCTCAACCTGGCCAGCAGAGTTATATAGATGCCCTCATTATCAATATCTATTCCAATCATGTTTATCGAGCACAAAACTACCTTAAAATGGCACTGCAGTAAGACCATGTCTGTATTATCTTTTGTTAAGTTACAAGTCTAGAACGCCAAGAGAGAGGTAGGAAGAAACGTTAGTTATCTTCCTAACATCATCATGGAAAAGCTAGAACACTTCAGTGTATTGCAAAGCCGTTGACAAGATTCCCTAAAAAAATGGAGAATTTGAAATCAGTTGTAGGAAAAGCCATACACACCCATGTGAGGCCAAGTTACAAATCTGGGAACACAATTACGGGAGCATACCTGGACAGCACAGCTGGACCTACCGGTTTACAAATCCTCATGAAGAATGTGTACTGAGTTTAAGCAATAATTCAGGATTCATTTTGTAAACTTGGCCCCACATCAGGACTTGAGTGCACTTGAGTGGTTCTGTCTAAGCAGAACACATCCTGTTGCAATAGTTCAAATAAGTACCACATGGGTATACATTTACATGAAAAAAAGGTTTGGAGCATCACAGCTCCAAACAGCATAGACAATTGGAAGACATTACAGGGAAGATGAAGAGAACACATAAGCTTCACTTCTTAAGGTAGGACACGGTTTGAGGCATTATTTTCCTTCTCCACGTTCTTATCATTGCCAATTTTGATAGATTTGTGAATTTTGAGTTTTCTGGGCTTTAGCTATCTTAGAATTGCTTTCATTCTATCTAACTAGTATTGCTCTCATTGTACCCATTGGCCTTTAATGATCAATTAGCTGATTCACGTAGGAAGTTGTTATTTTTTTCTTTGAATTTACTGTGCTGTATAATCCTGATTTTGAGGATGCAGAACAAGTTGTTATCTCATAAAAACCTTACATGCCATGCTTTTATCAGTTTGGAGGTTAACATGTTAACAATAGGACATTTTTGCCTTTCATGATTCTAATCCCTAGGTGAAAGGAGAATAAAAACAAGCCAAGATAAAGTTTTGAGGGGGCAGAAAAGATCAACGAAACCCTCCCATGTATGTTATGACGGTGATTAAGATAGAAATATGTAAAGATTTCAAATGTGCAGTTAAGTAGGCTATATTGTGTATTAACCGTCTAGCCTTTGAACATATGCAGGAAAGTGGTTCGAAGGAGGTGGCGAGCATTTTGTTCTAATAAAGATAAGAGGAAATGCAGCCACGTTATTTGTACTACGAGAAGCCAATGTACATCGATGACAAAACCTACTCAGTGTGATGAGAAATGATAAAGTGAAGCCTTGTGAATTTTTGTTATACTATGTAGTTCCCGCCTTCCCATACTCTCCATGTTTATCTTATGATAATGAGTGGAAAAAAAATTTCCCAAAGCATATGTGATTTATTGCTCCAATGTAATCAACTTTGAAGCTACCATTTAATTAATTATTAGTATTGGTAAGCAAGGGAGACATGAGTACATCAGAGTTTGAGTCCCAGATTGTACTCAAGAGGAGAGAAGTCACTCAAACTTGTGGCTTGTCTGCTTTAAATGTCTTTCATAAAAAAAATCATTTGTACATGGAAATGTTGTTTTTGCCTAAAATATTCTATTCTTATACATTATCACTTTATCCTTCTCTAAATATTAACATAATCTATGATGCCTCTAATACAAAGGAAATAAAAGAGAAATAAGATGCAGTCTTATTTTCAAATTTATGTATTTCAGTTTCATTCCAGAAATAACTGCACTGAGATAGAACCATCTCCTCAGCCCCAGAATAACTGAAATAGCTATTCTATGGCTCCAAGGGGACCAGTAGGTCATCTTTTAGTCATTAGAAATAATGTTTGCTGTTTTCGCCAACTGGGGTGTTGGGTTTGTGGTAATTAAAGGGTAAATTAAAGGGTATCTCTAGTGCTTATTGCTCCTCGTGTGCTCCTTTTATAACTCCCCAAACCAGATTTTTTACCACCATTTCATAAGATCACTTCAGGTCAGATAGTAAGGAAGAGTCATGGTATAGGGTCAGTATTAGGCTTATTTTATCCACCAGGAATGGTAAAGTTTGGGAGCAGAAAGAAATTTTTGTGTATTTCTGAAGAAGGTTAAATAAGTATGTCACTCTCCCTGGTGAGGGGATATGCATGCGTATGTGCACACACACACACACACACGTGTGCGCACACAGGGGGATATGCATGCATATATGCACACACACACACACACACACACACACACACACGTGTGCACACACACATATATTCCTGATCATTTCTGGACAGTTTTCCTTTCTATCCACTGAACACATTAAAAATTCTGCAGGTGCCATTATGGCTAGGGCATTACCAGAGACAAAAATAAAATAGGTCAAACATACACATAAAAGGCACCAATTTGACCCAAATGGTTATTTTGTTTGACACATATCATACCACAGTTGGTAGCTGCAGAGTTTATTTAAACTTAAATGCTAATTAGGTCCTTTGCCAACCCTATTTTGCAAACTAAATACAAAGCTAAATATACCAATCCTCATTAAATCAAAAGAAACATACATAGCATATCAGACAGTCATTGTTGTCATTACCAATAAACAGAAATGTGTATGTTTTCCCCATCCCAGTGCTGAAATATGCTCTGTGTTTATGGAGCAAGCTAAAGGGGGAAAGAAAATTCTTGCTTGAGTCTGTGGACTCTGGCCCTGGGGGTGTACCTGGGTCTCCACATCTGTCAGCTTTCTGGTCTGCTCTGCGGTCTGGGACAGGAGGCTGGTTCCTATCTCGAGCATGGTGGCCGTATGGTTCTGAACTGCATTCTGCTGTATCTGGGCCATCTCCGACTTCATATTTTCCACAATGTAATTCTCAAGCTGTAAGAGATAAAGGACAAAGCATACTACAGTATAAGCAAAGCTTTCCAGTTGGGGTATGTAATATTTACAATAACAAAACAAGACACAGCTGGCAACTCAGCCATCTGGCAGGGATCCTCCACATCTCTGGGAGTTAAGGAAGTGTGAGCAGAGCAGGCAGAAAGAATCTAGTTAACAAACCCCTAATATACTGATACTTATACATAATAGTGATCATCATATTGAAAACTTGTACTCAGGTCGTGTTTTCCTCTTGTCAGCATGACTTCATTTAACTCACGTGGTAAAGAGGTGAGTTAGGACAGTCTGCCTCATTGTTTTTATTTTACAGCTGAAGAAACAGAATCAGAGAGTGGGCGATGAACCAAAGGTAAACCAGAAAGAATGCAGCAGAGTTCGCACAGTCATTTAAATTTAAATCTCGCTGCTCTGGTGTTTTCATTGCATCATAGAAGAAAAGACTCATCTTGGAAAAAGTCAGCTTTCATTTTTGTAGTGATAAGTTAAAAGACCAGGCTGCACTGGAGGAATGGGACAAGGAGTGAGAACAGGGTAGATCCCGAAATGAAAGCCTTTAAGAAGAGAATCTTAAAGTGTAAGCAAAGATATGTGATGTGAGCTGTGGAGTCTTAGGGCTAGCTACTGCCATTCCTGAGTTCCCTAGCAAGCTCAAAATAGGCACTGAATGTACAGCCCATAAAGCACATTTGCCTTCTCGTCTTAGGTAACATATAATCCTTTATGATGCCATCTCAGAGAGCACGATGACTATAAAATAAATGGTACCATAGGAACCAAGGAGAATTATTAAGTGACTTACTACAAGGGAGCCAGTCAGTCACCTGCAAGAATAAAGTTGAGCACATGCACTGCTTGAAAGAAAAGAAGAAGCCTGCACTCCCCTGTCAGTGCAGTTAATTCTCCCACCATCGTGTGGCGACTGCGCTTTATTACCCAATTAGACATATGGGGAAATTGCATCCCAGTGAAGTCGGGTCCAAGGCCACACACTGCAAAACAGCCAGACTTGGACTTGAGTGCTCAAGTGCTCGACTCTCATACCAACACTTTCCACCACATGAGAGCCCTGCCAAGCTGTGCTTAGAAAACCGGGTTCCAAATCATTAACAGCTACGTGATGTTTTACTGATTTGCTGAACCATATTACATCCACTATTTTATAATCCGTAGTAACATTATTATCATGTAATAAATATAGCCTAAATGGAAATTCCCCATCGGGAAACTTTGGCAGTTCACTTTCTAGCATCATCCCTTGCTTATTTCTACTTTTTAAATATGATTGCCCTTACTTAATAAAAATGAAAGGTTAGACTCATACTCAGATTGTTATAAATAAATTCTAAATTTGTCCTTTGTCAATATAAGGTTGCTCCTCTTCATCTTTCATTCTTAAATTAGAAGTAGGTGGGGAAAAAATCAGTCTGTAAACTTTTATCGTAAAGAGAATTCAAAATAGATCAAAATAAACATTGACCAAATCTTGGCCTTATTTCAGTTGAAATAATATAGTTAACAGTAAAGAAAAGAGGAACTATGAGTAGCAGACATCTGTCCCTTGGTTTCACATATTTACCCCTTCTCCTCAAGATGTCCTTTAATTTTCTTTTTGGGAAATCACTATTGCTCCTTTCAGAACAAATGGATACAGTTGCCCCACTAGCTGCAGGGGTGGATACATATTTGAGCCTGGAATGCTCTGCTCTTAAATGTGAATGAGTTGTTCAAGAACTGAAAGATATTCTAAGCAAGGCCGATGTGCCTCAGTTCTAAAATTCTGTCATAGCAGTTTACCAATAGCTTTTACTTTTTGGCTAGTAAGCTGGTAATATACATGCCTGATATTGTAGACACCCCACTTTGTAGAGCCAGCTTAAGAATAAAGCCAAATAGAATAATACAATAGGTAGATAGGCAGAATAGATAATAGGTCATCAAGAAAGTCATGACATATCTTTCTATGCAAAATTGCATCCTGACTTCCTGATCACATGATAGATAAATAAATAAATAGATGATTGGTTAGGCAAATAAATATGTTGGGTTACATAAATAGATATATTTTGAGCCACTATAGCCTATCTTGTTTTATTACTTTATGCATTTATTTATTTATTAGTTTGCCAGAGTATGCATGCACTCACTGGAGAGAGAGAGAGAGAAAGAAAGTGGGAAAGTAAAAAAGTACCTCCCATGGAGAATGGTCACACTGTAATCCCTTCTCCACCTCTCCCTCCTTTCAGGATTTTGGACACACACTCACATGTGCCCATCATGGTTTTCAAGTTTCTAGGTCCAGGACTTGAACCTCACAGTTGGCCATGTGGGATCCAGACACCTTAACCACCAGGACACATGCTGCCAGCCATGTTTTTGTAACAACTAATTTATTTAATCTATGAGTACTTAATTACTCTTTGCATTTTATTATATAATACCTGTACCTTGGGTGTTCACCAAAACTAGATACAGTAGAGAATTTAAAAGCGCAGATGGAGATATGTCAGAAATCTTCAAGGACATATACCAAGAAAATATGGATTTTAAAAGGCTTTTAATGATATAAATGATCTATCTCACTATGCCACTTAACACACTGTTTAGTTCATACACACACACACACACACACACACACACATATATACACACATGTATTTATAGATATATACCTATATACTAGCAAGATTTTCCCAATGAAGAATATGATACTCTAATTTATTTTCCGGTGCAAGCTCCTTACTTTGTTAGCAAACGATTTTCTTGAGTGTAACTAGTTTAGACCATCAAACTTATTCTGATATATCAGAGTTCCTACTCAACAAGAAATTTCAAATAATAATTTGGCTTCCAATGGAGTTTTCTCTCCTATGAAAGCATTCTCTAATCAGTGAGCTCAAGATCTGCTTGATATTTGTACATCAATTGCAGTTGCTGAATAAGAATCATTCTCTAAGGCTGACGCTTTCTGGGTGTAAAAACAGTTAGGAACTCTGGTCTTCACAATGGAGGACACTCTCCGGCATAAAAGGGCTGACATCAAATTTCAGGTGCTTTGCTATGCTATTCTGTGTCAGACGTTTTCCATTTTGCATTGCTGTGTGTGTGTATTTTGTTTTGTTTTGTTTCACTGTGAAAGTTAATGCTGGCAAAACAAAGTAACTGTTTCATACCAGTATTCATCACAACCACAATGAGCTCCCAGCTGTGCTGACTCTGTTACAGAAATAGAGTCAGGCTCCCACCCATACTAAAAACCTTATTTTGGCTGCCATGATAAGTTGTATGAACATAATTCTAGTTAATTATTTTTTAATCAAATGGGGCTGCTTTCTCTTGGAGTAGTTGCCTTTTAATGCAAAAGGTAATGGCACACTTAAGTAGCAAGAACCAGATGTAGTTGATTTAAAGGCTGAGGCAGGAGGCAGAAGTCAAATATACAATGTGTGATTAATAAGGAAGACTGCTTTCATCTTATCTCTAAACATTCCTCTGTAGATGTATAACTGTGAAATCCATCTTGATGTGCTGTATCAGCTACGTTCTGAGAAGATTTGTAACAAATTTGATTGTCTTTATATATTCCATACTGGTTTTAAAAATAAGTTTACATAAAATGATGGTTACCTCAAAGTTCAGTATTTTATAAAGATATAAGATGTAAATTTTAAACTTAGAAATTGCTAATCACAAGAGCTGATGGTAGGAGATTAGAGGAGATGAAGTGGGAGATTCTCAAAGTGAATCATATCATTATTTGAAGATATGATCACTCTCAGTGTCTGACTCAGATTTCATAAGGTTGGCCAAGGGAGAGGAGGAAGTGGATGTAGAATTCATTGTGGAACAATAAATGGTGACTTTTAAACAATGAAATAATGTTGTATTTGTAAAGCGAGTATTTACAAGTAGCTTCATTTATATTGTCTGACTTGATCCTTAAATCTACCCTACAGGAAGATACCCACTTCATTTTGTCCTGTAAGAAGTGGAGGACTTAGGTAACTTCAAAGGGAAGTCTCTACTCTAACTTCTGATAATGTAGTAGCCTCAGCTTGGACTGGTTGGCTTGGTGATTGATTGATTGATTTCATTTTCAGTAAGCTCTCTTCCACATTTATTTATTCCTTTAAGGAAACTACCACCTTGAGAGGGTGATTACTTTCTGTCTGCTTCACAATATTGGAAACTAAGGTATTCTGAGGTGAGATGAGATGCCTTAGGGCAAGGTACTTGGAAAGTTTACTTTGCCAGTATTTTTAATAAAAAGGGATCATTAAAAATGAGGGAATTCTCATGAATCTCTACCTTTTTTTTTTAAGTTCCATGTGTTTGTTATCTTATGCTCATTCCATTTCTAGCAAACAATTGTAAAATTTAACAAAGGGGATAAGCAAGAACACATAAATTCTCTAAGGGTAAGCATGTCCGAGGTTGTACAAATATGTAGTTCATTGAAGCTTTACAATGATTCAGAAACTGTGGATACTATTTTCCTCATTTGTCTGATATGAAAACAGTGGTTCAGGGAAGTTAGGAAAACTGTCTAGGATCACACAATTTATTGGTGGCAGAGCTAGTATTTGGTTTGAAAGAGGCTGGATTGCTCAGGAGGGTCCATTATTTATTCCTTTAAGGAAACTACCACCTTGAGAGGGTGATTACTTTCTGTCTGCTTCACAATATTGGAAACTAAGGTATTCTGAGGTGAGATGAGATGCCTTAGGGCAAGGTACTTGGAAAGTTTACTTTGCCAGTATTTTTAATAAAAAGGGATCATTAAAAATGAGGGAATTCTCATGAATCTCTACCTTTTTTTTTTTAAGTTCCATGTGTTTGTTATCTTATGCTCATTCCATTTCTAGCAAACAATTGTAAAATTTAACAAAGGGGATAAGCAAGAACACATAAATTCTCTAAGGGTAAGCATGTCCGAGGTTGTACAAATATGTAGTTCATTGAAGCTTTACAATGATTCA